AACTTGTTTATAATTATCATAATTCTGTGATGGTATATAGCCTTCCCCGTTACATCTTTGACAAAACCTTAAAGATCTTGAAGATACTCCTGGTGATTGAATACTTTTAGATGATTCAGGAAAATTTCTTTGAATAATTTTTCTCAATACACCTTCCGGCAATTGTGCAGATGTACTTGGTACCCTTGTGAACATATATGAACATTGACAATTATATCCAAGTCGCGGTCGTGACAATGTTTTCACAGACTTTTCTTCATCACCAAGTGTAAAAAAGACATAGGAATCTTTCATCTCGTTAACTGTACTTTGACCAGTTTCAAATTCTGGTCTAGTGGAATATAATTTTAATGTACGCGTACCATCAAATTCTTGAAAAGTATCTATTTTAGAATTTATATATGTTTCTTCTAAATCATCACCATCCATTTTTTTTTCAAAATTTCGCAGAGAAACTTCAGAATAATGTTGTATATCAGTCTTTGTCATGTCGATATCTTGTGATACAATTTCATTAACTATTATTTTAACTTTGTTTGATGCACAAGTTTTTTTGTCAACAATATTCTTTACATTGCTATCATTATCTTGAGGAAATTCTTTCAAAGTAAATTTTGTATTTCTTTCAAATTCTGATGGTTTCAACACAAATGAATCTAGATTTGATTCCATTGTAATGCTACGTTTAAGAGAGCTAATAGATCCTTCTACTCTTAATCTTTCGACATTATATTGAGGATAAGAATTTTGCATAATAGCATTGTCACTTTCTGTATCATATGAAACCTCTTGTATAGGAATTTTTTTTCTAGTAGATGTGTGTACATGTGATGTCAATGATTCTCGATCATTACACATTATTTTTGTTGTGAATAAATGCGGTCGTTTTATTTTCGCTTGTTCTAGAAGATTTGCAGCTTCTTGAATATCTTGTTCAGTAACGCAACAATATTCTTGTCGTTTCTGCACTACTCCACTACGAATGAAATATGATAAAAAAAATAAAACAGAATTAATCAAATTAACTTTTTGAGGATCACCCGCAACAACTGTATGTGCAATCTTGATAGGATTACTTAATGCACCATATAAGTCACCTAATTGAGCCCATAATGGATTACAAGGATACCAGGTACCTAATTTCTCCATCTGAAAAAAATATAATAAATATATTTTGTTCCTAAGTATGACATGGCATATTGAATTAAAGCAAGGAATTATAAAAAAGATCTGAATTATTTACCAATTGTCGATTATGAATTGGCAGTGTAGTATATATCCAACCAAGATGATACGTTAAAACAGCAGTTACAACAGTACTTAAAAAACTAAAATATATAAATGTTAAAATTTCAGTTTAAAAGCATAGTATTTTTCATTTAAATACTTACAAATTAGTCGATTTTGTATCAGTATTATCTAGCAATTGACACATTTGTTCCAAACTATGATGCAATATACTCATTTTATGTTCTATTTTCACTGAATTAAGTAATACATCATGCCATAATAAAGGTGTGCGTGAATATAAATCTGCGTTTATATTTGTAAGTAAACGCAATAACGAAACAATAATTCGTGAAGAAGATCTATAGAGTCGTTCAGGAAGCTGCATTCCTTTATTTTGAACATTGATATTACCTGATTCAATAGAAAAATATCGTAAACGATCCAGCATTCCTTCTAATAAAGCCATGTGCTCTAATAGACAAGTTTCTATTTTTCTGTAATGCAAAACATACTTTTTTAAATTATTATTTTTGATTTAATAAATTTTTACGTAAAATGAGATAAGTTAAAATTAAAATAAATTAAATTAATAATTAAAATATTCTTAATAATAAAATTAATAATCTTAAGTTAAATTTCAACCTTTCATGACCTTCAGCTAGTTGCACTAACATCGTTAATCCAAGTCTTGTTTTATGATGTTTAACATGACTATTTTTATTATCACTTCCATTCTCAGTCCAATATTGAATTCCGAAAGTATCATCGGAATCTGATCGTGTTAAAGAAGTAGATGCTGATCGTAACCATCTTCGACGTAAACTTGAAAGACTACCAATACCGGAGGATCCATTACTTTCCAACGATTGTGAACCTGAATTAATATCGCATTACATCTCAAAAAATAAATGCCAATAAATCATTTTTACATTTTCAATTTGAATCGATATATATATTTAACTTACTCCCTGATGGTGGTGGTATATCTATATTCCATCCACTACCAGTACTAGAACAAGTAGAATTTTTTCTGATATCAGCGTTTAATTCTGATCCCGATAAATTTCCAGAACTTGGTCGAGATACTGAAAAATTAAATTTTCACATATATATTTAATTTCAATTGACTTAATTTAAATTAATGATATTATAATATTATTTTGCAAATGCTACATACACATGGTTTGCATACTAGAATTAGAATCAAAATTCACGGAACGACCTAATCCTTCGTCCGAAACTTTCTCGCTGAAACATGATTGAATAATAAATTAAATATTGTATCCATATATCAACTATAATGTGAAATCGATAACTATCTTATTAAGAACGAATAAGTTTACCTCTGTTTGCATATATTGTGTTCTGTAATTGGAAAAACTTTTGTGCACATGATGCAAGATGGTGAATTCATTGAATGGATCTTGAAAATAAACATAAGAAAGATTATTTTATAAAATATTAATATCATTTATTTTCAATTTTGTTTTTATATTTTACCTTAAATGAAGATCCTCTGTATGTCATCGCCACAGTACCAAATACCATTTCGCTTAATAAGCTCACATCATCTTCGCTTATTTTTTCTCGCTAAAAATTTATAATTATTTATATAAAATAATATTTTGAAAAATATATTTTTATATTTCATTAAATTATACAATTTTTTATATAATATTAATTAAAAATTATGTTTTTTTTAATAATTTTTCATTACCTCAAAGATACGATTGTTTCCGAGATTAATTGAATCATCATTCGAGCCAATATTGTTTTTAAGCTTAAACATAGCTGTTTTATTTTTACACCATTTTTTCTCCAAAGAAAGAGAATCAAAAAGAAGTTTTCTTCCGCGCCATTCGCATTCTCGAAACAATAAGATTCGAACTCGACTTGCTCCAATGCATAACGCTGAAATTCTACAAATATTGAAAATCATACAATGCAAACTGATAATAATATCAAAAATAAAGAATTTATTATGATCTTTAAAAAATATTATCATGCTAATAAATCATGGTATATTAAAAAAATCATGTAAATAAATAAAATAAACTTGTTTCACATGAGATTACACGAGAAATTGTATGAAACAATATCTTAATCTTAACTTGTAATCTTCTAATATTATACTGAAATAATATAGTTAGTTTTCCTTATGTAACTTTATAATCTATGTATAGCAAATATCAATTTTAAGTATATAACAATTTCACGATTATTAAAAATAATATTCCTATCATGCAAAATTTAGTAAAATTTATAATAAATAATTTAAATCTCTTATTAAATATTTTTATTCAGTATTTATTTATGTTATATCAAAATCTCAATAAAGATATAATTTTTTTTTATTAAAATATAATAAAAAAAAATATAAATAATAAATGTGCAATATAAATGTTTAAATAGATTAAAAATGTTTAGAATAAATATTCGTAAAGAATTAATATATAGAGGTCAATTTTGCAGATCGATGCATAAGCCAAGTCACGAGCATGTTAGTAACGATGAGATTATGTCTCCCGCCAACGGACAAATAGAAACGATCGTAACACAAAATAGGTTAAGGTAGATCGAAAATATGGACTTCAAAAAAAATGGCAAGTAATATATTTTTTTCTCTTTTTTCAATAAAAATTGATTTTCTCTGATAGAAAAAATGTAAAATAATTATTAGAATAATATGGAAGGCTTCGATGATCGATACGCTATGTTAGCAATAGATATCGAAAGCATGAATAAGATCGATAAATATAGAACAATGACGATATAAAAAGATACGTACGAATAAAATGAATGGGAATAAATAACGAGGTATATTCAAAAAAAAAAAATAGGCAACTATTCTCACCTATCATCTTCTTCTGTTCCAACGTTTGATGCTACAATAGTTTGAACGTTGTTTTTGAAACTCTTCCTCGAAAGGAACAGCTTATCAAGCAAAGGCATCATAAACGAACGATCGTTTATAGCTACCGCATTGCTTGCTAACTTTGTTTCGTTTTCGGTCTATCATGTCACAAGGAACTGCACCATACATGTTCACGAGTATCAGTCAACTGTAAATAAAGTCACGTGCGGAGGAGTCATATGATTGCCCGAGATTACTATGTCCCGTTCAGTCGACATCGAATGGAATGTTTTCCGGCTCTTTTCTTTCTTTGCTGTCACTATTTATTTCACTTCTTACAGGCCAGGGAACCGGTTCAATGAAATACTGATAAAAATATCAAAAGCATGATAAGAATAGGAAAAAAAACAAATTCGTACAATCGAAATGATTATTGACTGCGCATGATAATTTGATTATGATAGAAGTTATAGAATGTACCGCAAGAGTGCAGTACTCATCAATATTAACGATTTCGTTGCAATCATATTTGAATTTTTTTTCACTTTAAAAGTTATTAGACGATAAAATATTTTCAAGACGATAACATAACAGTTTCAAATGGTTAGTAAGTTTCCTATTTATTTTTTATATAAAAAAAAATTATATTAAAAAATCTCGATAAAACAAGAAGTGTAAAGTAGAAAAATCTGTAGAAAAAGATGTTATTTTAGAAAGAGAACCAAGAACTTTAAAAAATATTGTTTACTCATTGCATATATATATATATATATATATATTAAATAACATTTATTAAATTGGTAAAATCATTTAACAAATCGAAATATACAGTGATTTTATTTGCAAAAAAATAATATACATCTAAAATTAAATATTTAAAGAGTTAATAAATTGATACCATTAAAATATGGAAAAATTAAATGTTACAAATAAAGTCTAATTCTTTTGCTTCATAATCTTTAGGATCTCGGCGTACAGGAACATCAAAATCAATATTTCTACGCATTTTATTAGCCAATATAAGACGATGAACATATTCTGTATCTCTAATATCTTCTGATGTATCAAACGCTCGTTTAACATAATTTTTATTTGATACTGGCATATATACCGGATATTCAATGTTAAAGGTTATAATTAGATCTCCTTTTCCTTTTGGATTTTCTGGTAATGGCAATCCTTCTCCAAGTATGCGTTTTTTATAATCTGGTCTATTTTACAGCAAAAAAGAATATTACATATTTTTTTATAAATTATTATTATATTATTATTATAAAATATTATAATTATATTTTATAATTATTATTATAAAATAATATAATTAATATAAAACAATATAAAATAATGTAAAATATTGTCAATTTTTTTTATTTAAGAAAAATCTGTCAACAATTATATTTATTTCTAGGATTTGTTATATTAAACGTAAAATAATTATTCATAATTATAAACAAACAAAGAAGGAAAGTAAAATGAATTGGAAATGGAGATGGTGGCACGTACGTGATGACAGACGTTAGTGGTATTCGAAGGGTTCTGTCGTCGAGGGTGTCGACGGTGACCACTGTTCCGGTCAGTGCCTCTCGCAGAAAGATATCGACCGTCATGTGCAAGTCAGAGCCCTCTCTTCGGAAGGTCTCGTGAGGCCGGTCCTCCGTGATGAAGATTACATCCGCTACGCTGACGTGCTTAGGACTGAGTAAAGATATTATGCGAACCACTACGATTAACCCATTTCTGTCCATCATGAAATGATGCATTTTAAATACATTCTTTAAATTCTTGAAATTCGAACCAATATAAGCAAAAACGCTGTAATAAATTTTTGAAAAGAAAAAAAAAAATGAATTTGATTCTATTTCTATTTACGTATTATAGAAGTACGTAATAAGAATCTTTTTATTTTATCGAACAGAAATGATTTAAATTTGAACATATTCTATTGAATAAAAAAAGACAAAAATATTTTTTTTAATTAACATTAATAATTTACCAGGTATTTTCGTGGGTCCTTGGTCACCTTCCTCTGGAAATGTTATCCTCGTTCCTGTCGGTATGCCTGGTTTAATAGGTATTGTTAAAATTTTTTCTTTTACTACTGTCATAGATTTATCATCCCCTACCAAAACCAATCTCTGTATCTTCATTTTCTTAATTCCACCAAGAAAAACCTATTCATATCGAGAAATAGATTTCTTAAAATTGATTATCAATATAGATAAAGGATCTATATTAGAATATTTGATAAAATACATTTGATCAATTATATAATGATAAGGGATTAACATAATATAATGAATAATAAATTTGTATTCATAAATCTTAAAATTTATGATTTATGAAAATATGAAAATATATAATAATAAAAAAAAAATATAGTTTGATATGACGAGTCACACGTTATCTACTGATTAAAACTGGAAACAGAAAACTATAAATAAATAGAATATCGATACAATACCTCCAGAAGGGTTAAGTACAAGGTTTTTATCAGAGGCTCTTCTTTACGTTTTATACCCCGCCCCTCGGGAAATTCGAGAAGAGATGGAGACTGCGTTACTGCGTAGATTAGATCAGCATAAGGACTTTCGGTACCGAAGAATTCCCTGTAGAGATACTTCTAATGAGAAAGATGTAGATCGGGTTGTAAATATTCAAAGTTTTCAAGTGATTGTTAAGTTAATCATACGCTTAGATAAAGTTGAGGATTATATAATTCATATAATAATATTGAAATATATGAAATTAGAGGAAAAAAATAAAGTATAAGTAAAATTACGAAAAAAGATTACATTCTATGAAATTTCACTTATTTTAGTATTTTAATGTAATATTTAGCGGATATTTTATTTATATTCTTATTGTAAAAATTAAAAAAAAAAATGTTTTATAATAATAATATGATTTGAATACCTATAAGTTCTCATCGGTTCTCCATGATAAACATATGGACAGATGAATTCTTCGGTTCCAGGTATGCCATTTTTAAGACCTTCCTCACCGAATTGATCATATACAGTTCTTTTAAGAGGATCTGAAAGTACATCGTATGCTTCAGTTACCAAGGCAAAAATAGTACTTAAACTTTCATCCTTTGCTCTTTTAGGATTGTATCGTATCGCTAAACGTCGAAATCTGAAAATTATAATATAATACATAAATTATTTAATAAAAATTAAAAATTATATTATATATATAATAATATATATAATAATATATATAATAAAATAAATATGCTATATATATAAAAATAAATATGCTTATTTTTTTATTTATTTATTAATATTAAAATATTAATTTATTTATTTATATTAAAATAACAACTGCAATATAATTTGATCAATTAATTATTATTATACATTATTAATGTTGATGATATTTTGCAACATAGAACTATTGTCGAATTGATGAAGAAGACGGAAAATAAATATTAATATTATAAATTATATTGTCTTACGCTGTTTTGATTTCCAAATCGTCGCAATCTTTTGTTAATGATAATACACCATAATAATCTATACCACGCTTATCACATGTACAAGTTTCGTCGCATGACATGATTATTCTATTTTTATTCTTTTACTAAATTTTTAAAAATTGTTTTATTTAAGTAGAAAAAAGAATTTGAACAAGATGGTGGAAGAAACACTTACACAAGCGACTATCTTCTGTTGTTACATATACACGGCTGATGTCATGGAAGAATGTCGATCAAAAAATAAAAGAAAGAAAATCGCATCGTTTCTTAACGATTTTTCAAGTGTTATCAACAACCAACGCGCCCCTCTCGACAACGAAATACAATCTACGCTCGTGTGTTAGCTTTTGTAATTATTAAACGTCTCATGTCCGACATTTATTGTTGAACACAGAACGATCATTAAATAGCTATTTATTGATATTCCATCTAAAGAAAAGATTCTCATGGATGCTTCTGAATTAATTTTGAACCTCGTGCAGAAAGGTGAGAATCAAAATAAGAATTTCTTTGTGAATTTTATTCATTATTGTTGCCAGAATTATTAACAACGTAATAAAAATGTAATTGATACTAATACTTACACAATTTATTTCTTATTACGATTTTTTGTTTCAAAACACCATTATTAAGACTGTCTGAAATTTTATTTTTTTAATTTATTTAATTCAGTTTCAATGTTTAAATATTATCTAAATATAGAAATATATATATATATATATTGTAAAAAATATTAACTTTGATTATGAAAATATATTTTTTTACTAAGAAATATAAATAAAATGAAATAATTTCTAGCCGCGGTTAAAACGGAAGTTAAGGAAAAAAATTTAAGCGATTGCGAAGGATTTTCTAATTGTGATAGTCCATCTCCTAGTCAACATGCAATCGACAACAATTCGTTCTCCTGTAGCGCGCCTGAAAAGTCGCGAGGAAATTGTAAAAAGGAAAAATCTGAAGAAGAAATGTTCAAGGTTTCCTTGGCGACGAACGACGAAGATTTGGAAAACGATAAAGAGAATGTATTAAAGAAAAAGATACGGTTGGAAGCGAGACAGATTTGTAGTAATCGTGAAAAAAGCGATGAAGAGAAAATCTTCGTGCTGCAGCAACTCGGTCGATCGCAGATACGTCCAGAAGGATTCCCAGCATTTCTATGCATCGATGGGAGAATTGCCGATTCGAATGGAGTTAAACGAAAAATCCCACGACCAGCGAACGCTTTCATGTTATTCGCCAATGAATGGCGAAAAAAGCTCGCTGCGGAGAATCCTCGAGAGTCTAACAAGGACATTAGTGTTAGGCTAGTTTTTTTTCTTTATAATACATAGTTTTTTTTTCTTTATACAATATTAAATAATTGTAAAATATTTATATTTTATATTTTTATTTTATATAGAACTTATTCTTCGTATTAAATATCTTTTTTGGGTACAATTAAATTTTATATATTTTCAAAAATTTAAAAATAATTATATATATGCATATATAGAATATTGTAAATTATATTTTTTATGTTGTACAGATTAGGTATTCTTTGGAAGAACATGGCAAAAGACGTAAAGGAAAAATACTTTGCCCTGGCCCGGGAAGTGGACGCGGAGCATAAGAGGAAGTATCCCGGTACGCTTTATGCCTATAGTCTCTCTTCAAACCAATATGACCTCGTTTTCGCGTTTGTAGCGGCTCGTCGAAGTTTACCGATACGACTGAATGTTCGTGCCTCGCGTTTGGTAGGTACACGATAGTTTCTTGTATCCTTACAAACACAAAAAAGGATAAAACATCGTGAAAAATGATAGACCAAACTTGAATGAATTTATACATTTATCAATCATCTATGTACAAATTCTACAAAGAGAATTTAATTAATTGTAAACTAAATTTTAAACGGTAATCAATATTGATTTTAAAATTTTTTTTTAAATCAATTTCTATAAAAATAATTTCATTTTCAATTTATTTTTATTTTCAGCGATTAATAACTTTGATAATTTACATTTGATTTTCTTAATATTTTGCAAAAAGAAAAATTTACGTTTGGTCAATGGGAAAAAAAATATTACCAGTCACAAATGTGTGTTAATGATCGACACTAAATATTTAAGAAGTTCTCACGGATTTTGCAGTGAGGATCTGCATACAGCTAGGAGGACATTTAGTCGCGTGAATGCTCAGTAACACGGGATATGTGAGGAATAATCGCGCTTGTCGGTGGGTGTAGGTAGTAGGTAGGTAGGTAGAGCGCGGTCGTGTATCGGGCAGGTTCCTAGAGTCGCGTCGCAATCAATACCTCCGGTCTCTACTGTTCCCTCCTGCCCGTTCCCCGTCACTCACCCGAGAATATTTCTCCGCTTGCCACCCTGTGCCCTGTACCTCGACCCGCAAAACTCGTATCGCTCTGCTATCCCACCCACAAATCGACGAGCTATAATCGCATTTTAGCTTCTCCGCGATCGTTCGCTTTCTCCTCTGTTAGCTAATTCACAGAATTCAGGACGAAAAAGTGCAAGAGGCATATATGTATATTCATCATGCATAAGTCATAGTAATGATTGCAACATGATTGTAAAATGTAAATATCGTCTGATACAATACATAAAATAGATACTTTATAGAAATTATGTAAATCAAAGTTGAAAAATAATTTTCATGATATAAAAATAATTTCATAGGACTTATTAATACCTATTTCAATTTTTTAAAGAAAAAATAGTGATTTAAAAAAATATTAAACAAATTTTTAGAATTTTTGTTTGTAACTATAATGTTATAAAAACAGAATTCAATAATGTAAATTGATTGGAAAAAAATATTGCATTGTAATGCAATAATTATATTGACTCATAATTTTGAAATTGCAAAAAATTCTAATTTTAGGAGGTATTATTTTCTCTATATTTTTGAGATATAATTTTTTGTATTTAGAAAAAAGGAATTCATTTCTTTTTCATGCTCAGTTATTTTAATTCTATGCTTTTTAATGATTATAATAATATGATATTTTGGTCATTTGATTATTTCACGATTATTTGATTAAATTATTTTGATTGCCGTTTTGATTATTGGCTATTGATTATGCCGTTTCTGCGATTCGATGCATCAGTTTAGTTGCACGAATTGAGTGACATTAGAACGGTTTCGTAGGGGATATGAGAGTGTGCATATTCAACTATTGTAACTGTTTTAATTAATAGCGAATAATCCATGAATGCCATAGATGAACCGATACATCGAATGCAAATAGTAATTGCATATTAGACGGATCGATCGTTTGAGCCAATATCTATTTCACTTTTAACGTAATCACATTCTTTTTTTTATTATCACATTTCCAGTGAAATTACATTAAATTAACATTAGTTTAATAAATAGTTGAACATTTTTCTCACGAATAAACGAAAACTAAATAGTGGCAAATAAATGAAAAAAATTTAATATTAACATTTTTTCACAAAATGTTTCAAATTTAAAAATTAAAACTCGTGATATGAAAAGAAATGAAATAAAAAAAAAAGTGTAATAAGTAACAAGGATTGTGAATGGCATATTTCATTGAATATTATAAAAATGAAAATCATAAAGATCAAGAATAATCAAAGAAAAATGACAAATCCCTATTAATATTATAAAAAGGTAGGAAAAATATATTTCATTAAAAAAAACTTTTCAAAAATTTCTATTAAAAAATCATATCATAAATCTTTTTCCAATAATATTTTAAAAAAATATTTTCATAATAGCTTCTTTAAAAATTAATTTTAAAAATTTCTATTTTTTACAGAGATTCTAATTCAATATCTCAATTTGATACATTGATTATAAATTATTATATAAGAAGAAATGAAGAGGAAAAGAAAGATGAATCGTCCTCCCAGATGAAGGACAACGAGCAACCATGTAATCAGTATCGGATTGAAAGGGTGCAAAGATTCGGGCTAAATACACTGCTAAACGGTAGTCGTGCAATCAACGATGGGCCAGCGCATAGCGAGCAAGCCGAGTGGTCAATTAAGATCACCGGAAAGTGTCGATATGCTCTGCGCGAGCGTCCGAGGACGCGGGCGAGCGGACTCGCGTGCATCTGCGCGACTGCATCGCACGCGTGACGAGGAAAAAGAGGGGTGACGCACGGTCGCACCAAGGGAAGCCGTCAAAATGTCGAGGCTCGTGCATCCAGCAGGCATATCGAGCCAAAGACACGCGAGGGAGGAGTATTCCTCGCTCTCTCCTTTCTACTTGCTCTCCCTCTGTTTCTCTCTCCTCTCGCTGTGTGTAACGATCGCCGGTCATCGATCCGCTATCGCATCGACGCGATGCTTGGTTGCTCGAGAAAACGAGAGCCTCCCGTTGCTGCGAACGTCACGCGGATTTTCCTTGAAAAGTATGCTCAAGATTGATCGGATCTTATGTTTGATTAGATTTGGAATTTTAGAATCGATGATCCAGAGATTTATATTAACACTAGAATTATTAACGCATGATTAACGTGAAATTTATCAAAATGACACGCTGTTTTTGTAATTGCTAAAGATATATACCCGATGAAATTATGTTAATTTTATTCTTATATACTTTTATAAAAAAATGCGTTATTGTATAGAATATGTCTTTAAAATAACAGCTGAATAAAATTAATCGAATAGATAATGAATTAAAATTTTGAGGAGAAGAGATTTTTGAGCTAAAGTTCGTAAAATGATTTCTATATCTTTGATTGGTGCAAAATTGTTTGGTACTTTTTCAAAATGAGTGCAGTATGTGTTGATATAACACGATAAAAAGATTACTGCAACCCCCGTACAACAAGGTGAAAAAAATTACTGCAGTCCTTGTAACGTGGTAGATAAATTTCAAAATACAGCAAGAAACGAGGGACTTCTACTTATGCACGAACTTTTTAATAATTAAGTATGCTTTTTTACTATAAAAAATAATTTAGAACTCCATCAAAATATTTGTTTTTCTACTTATAATAATTTTTCGAATTTTAGATATCGCATCTACATCTTACTTACATAATTAATATAAATACATTTATTATATTTTCAGAATAGAGAGAATATTTTCAAAAGAAAAACGAATAAATCTCAAAGTAAGGATAAATAAAATTTATGTTCCAAATATATATAACAAATGACGAAACAATGAATGACGAAATAACGCATAATATAGAATCACGATTCAAGTTAAATCAAAAAGAAGAACCGATATGGACCAATACACAGCAGCCGGAGTAAACGATCCATTTAAAAGGCGAGTTCGAACTCTGGGGTAATCGATGAGAGTTGCCGAGTGGAGGGATGGTAGCAAGAATAACACGACACCTCGATCAACTCTTCTCTCTTGAACAAAAACACGTTCAATTTCAAGTGAGACGGATCCTTTGACAGAGGATCAACGAGGAGGAAGCTTTTGCAAATCGATAGGCTGGCGAAAAAGGGTTTCTTGGGATATTTTGCGCACATCGGGGGAGACATTGAAGGCCGGAACTCTTTTCGTTCACCTCGTGGCTTGAACGCTCTTCGCTCACCAGGGTGGGGAAAAAGCCACCCTCTTGCTAGACCAGCCCCTCCCTCTCTCTCTCCCTCCAACTCTGTCGGATTCGTCGATGACGAAACGCACACGTAAATTCGTCGACGTGCACGGTGCTGCCGCTCGCAAAATCAGTGCGATCCAAGTGCACCGCGAGGCAGGAACACGGGTCTCCCGTGCGCGGCCTATCGTTCCCGCTTGCGGCACGCGCGCCTCTTCCAGAGAAGTATCAGTCAGATAGCGGGAGACGCTCGCGTAAATAGGTCGTTGGATACTGCGTTGGACGAAGAATAAATAGCCAAGAGAAATAACTCCGAGGAGAATAGAAATTAAATTTATGATTGTGATTAGAATGTATCGAGAGTGACAACGAAAAGCGTAAAAAATCGAATGGAAGAAATCATAAACTCGATACAAAGGTGATAGATGATATTTTAACTGGTTGAAGTGATTCATGTAGATTTTGTCCAAGTAATTGAATAAACATCGTGAATGAGGAGAATGATTGGAGAATAAAAACGATCAGTGCGTTAAACATTGGAATTTTGCATTGGAGATTAGGTGTACGTGATTGAGTGTATTTTTAATAAATCATCATGATTCGAGTGATGTTAATAAAACAAATAGGGTATATCTATTTGTTTGAATAAAAATGAATTTTCAATGTAGATATCATTGATTATACAAAACTGTTTAAAAAGAAGAAAAGCTTATGTAAAAACTTATACAAAAACACGAAGCAAAATTAAAACATTCGTACAGAAATAAGAATCAAATTTATAGATGATTGCAGACACAATTCTTTGCTAAACAGATGAAAATAATTTCGTTTAATTGCTCGCAATAAACTAAAATAAACTATCGATTGTCGTCAGAAAAACGTGAATTCGAGATGCGTGACACTCGAACAAATTAGAAGAAAAAAACGGGAATGTGGGAGGTGTTGAAAGGAGAGAAAAAACTTTGAGCATCGATCTTGCGCCCGATGCAGTTACTATGACGCGGGTTGTCCAATACGTTCAATTGTATCCACTTTGGAATCGACAGGTCGCGTGGCCCTCGAGCCAAGATCGTCGGGTCTATAGTTAGTAAGTCTCTACCAGCTTTTGCGAATTGGATCAACGGCTACGCGGGGTAAACGATGACGACGAGGAGGACGAGGACAACGTCGGCGGGGACAATAATGACGCCACGCGCGACGGGACTAAAAACACTGGGTCTTCCCGACGGAATGCAGGAGGCCGATCGAACGCCTCCCGATGTACCCTTCTCTTACGTGGTCTTCCCACGTAAATTCTATTTGCTGACATATATGATAAAACAATAGAAAAGAAAGGAGAAGACGAAAATTTAAGAAAGAAGATAAATTGTAAAAAAGCAGAAAGAAGAAAAAGTAAAAAGGGGCCAATTTTTGCGATTCTTCCAAATAATAAAAAAAAAAAGAGAGAGAGAAAGAGAGAGAGAAAGAAAGACACTCGATCTCGAAAGATTTGAAACGATTCGTAGATAAAATAAATTTGCCTCTGGTTATGTGTTCAAGGCTCGCTTGATAGGATTTAACGCGCAAACGTGGCTGATAAGCTTCGGGAAGTAAAGAAGTCATTCTTTGCGGCGCGATAAGGACCGCCCTTGGTCGCAAAGATGGACTGTTGCAACTACGTCGAGGCTTACGCGGCAGGGAGCCACTTTTATCAACAACAACATTACTTTTGCTATGATAACATGAATACCGATTACGGTGGTTATGAACCGCCACCGATCTCCAATGCAATCGAAACGAGCGCGCGATACAACGGGACTGTAACGCCTGCGTATCCTATAGGTATTTAAATGTTTAAAAGAATTTGTGAAACAAGTATTTGTTATTCGTTTCAAATGTTATTAATTATAATTACGTTTTTTTACATTTATTTAAAATTATTAATTGATGTAGTATTTATAAATTGATTGATCAATTTACTTTTATTTTTAAATTGAAAGAAGAAAGAATTGTCAGCATAAATGTCATTAAAATTTATGACAAAATTATGAAAATCAATTAAAAATGAGGTAGAATTTAATTATATTGTGCATTGAATTTTAAATAGATTAATAGTGAGATCTAACGCACATGCGTGGAAGTCACGATTAGTTAAGTAATATAGAAATATTTTTAAATATTATTTTCTCTTGTTGCAAGATTATTTGAAAACATTAAAATTAATTTTTAATTGCGTTCTTATTGCAAGAAATTTTAATATTGTGAAAAAAAATGTGCAAACTCTATAGAATTATTTAAAATTGCCCAGGAGTAATATGTAAACTAAAAATTAAATATCTAATGCTTGAGAAGATTTAATCTTATATATATATATATATATATATATATAATAAGATGTTCATTCTCAGTATTTGCATTTCTTATCTACTTTTTCGCGAAGAAAAAACACTATACAGAGTGACTCAAAAAGACAATCGATAATCCATTACTTACTCTATTTATTACTATTCATTTTTAACAAATTTTCTCTTTTAATCATGTAAACTTAAAATTGTGTTACTTTTGTGTCACTTATAGTTAAAAATCATCCTTTCTACTATTATAATATTTTACGTGTAATGATATAATGAATATATATATATTATAATTTCATTATAAAATTTAATAATCTATAAAAACTTATAAAAATTAAGTTTCTAATAATTTTAAATGTTTTACCTGTTTCACAGATTACGTGTACAATCCCAAAGAAGCGAGATTGCGAAAAGCGATGCGCGAACAGAGCCGCGAATTATCCAGACGATCGATCTTGCAGAGCGCGATCGCACGTGCGAGCGTGATCGCTGGTCCAGTCACTTCCGGCGGCTTCCTAGATCATCAGCATCGTTTCGGCTGCGTTTCCTCGGCTAACATACCGATGAATTCGTCCATGGAACCGGTTCGAGTCGCGGAACCTTGGTTTCAATCGACGCCTCGTCCAAAACCGATCCATTCACCCCGAATGACCGATTGGTACGGAAACGTGGCTGATCCTATCGAAAGACTGCAAGTAATGGGTGCAATGCATCAACGTGGCCTCGATAAATGCAAAGACGTGATGAGAAATCAGGCTGTGGCCAGCGTGGCCAATACCGTGTCTGCTGAATGCGGTGCTACGTTTTCGAATAACGGATATCCGGTCGATTTCAGCGATGTTAATAGGGAAAGGGAGTTGCGTCGTCAGGAGAATATGGAGTACAATGAATTCACTGATGGTCAGAAATGGCATCCTTATCAGGTGAGTGTTTTTCTTGGAAATTATACAGGGTGTCTCTATGGAATCGTGGTGTTTTTGAAGTCGGTTAGTAATAAAATGCTTTTTTTGTAAGAAAATTAAATGAAAATAAAGAATAAAATTTTGTAAATGAAGGTTTGAAAAGATATCCTGTATTATGATTTTATTGAAAAAAGATTAAACAGTCTTAATGTTAAAATAGTGAAATTATTTATTTATAAATGATAACTGTAATTGAAAACTTTACAAAATTTTAATTATATGGACAAAGATTTCTTTTCATAGTCAGAATTTTTATCAGATTATTCCATAGATAATAATTTATTTTCTTAAAAAATTTCTATAAATTGTTGATCATAGAATGGCGGGAATGCTCATCAACATGCCAGAACGTCTCATCCTTCTCAAATGAGCAACATTCTTCACCCAAACATTCAGAATCCTGGTCCACATGGACATGGGCCATGGGGTCAATTTTGCCATAACGTATTACCACGTAAGTGAAGATAAAATCCGATGAAAAATCTATGAGATCAATGAAAAATGAATTTTTATTGTTCTTTCATAGATGCTTCGTCTATGCCTCGAAATATTGGAGTTCGAGGGCCGCGTCACACCGTGTTATTACGGGATCGTGTACCCGTTAGACACTGTGAATTTCCTGAAGAAACAGCGCGAATGATGTACAATCCAAGCAAACTCGATATTGAGAATGTACGAGCATCGTATACGCCTCCTGAACATCAGGTTTTCCTTTTCCTATTTTACACAATTGCAGAATATATCCACGAATAACAAGAAAAGAACAAAGAATCCGCCCAATAAAAAACTTATTATTATGAATAATACAATAGATAATGACTATATAAATTCTTTTTCAGATGCCAAGAATGCTAGAAACTTCAGTAAATTCTGTTATGGATTCTGCGTCCGCAATGAGGATTCGTCGTGAAGATGATGGACCCAGATGGGAGCCAAACGCTATAAATAATAGAATGTCTATGGATAACCTAGCTGCAACAACGGTACAACATTCGATTATATTATGCATTTATGATTCATCCTTCAAACTAAAACTTCATAAATAGAACGTAACTAATTAATTATTAAATATTATTCAATTTATAATCAGGAATCTAGCATATCATGCGAAAAGGAACGTGAATCTCGGCGATCTGTCGAAAGATTTGAGCCGAAAAAGAAAACTGTCAGTAAGCAACCGTTGCCTGGTTTTCACCAAGCATTCGGTTCTACAGAGATCGGCAGGTTCTCCAGATCTGAGTTTTTCGTGAATATGGTGGGCGAGAGTGGTGCAAGCGTGGAAGTCGCCGACACGGAAAGTACTAATGTAAGTACGGATCGTATGTCAGAGATAAATGGGGTTGCAGTTACAACTGCGACGCACGATACATCCGTGGTCACCACGACCGCAACGACGACCGTGAGGTCATTCGATGGCGACGATAGCGAGGAAGCGAGCTTCGAAGATTCGAATAACGACCTCGTCGCTTCTACGTCGATGGGCATGTATTGTGACCAGCCAAATATTCCTCGATGGCATAGTCCTCATGTAGGCGCTATAGGTAGCGAAATTTAAACGAATCTTTAAATTCTTTCGTGGGCTAAGCGTTTTCCCATTGAAAGTCTTACATAGAATTCTCAGTCAGTTATTTTCAAAAGTGTGAACACTAAAACATTTTCTCATAATCTTCATTCTGGATATTCTGAACTGTTGCATCCAAAAAAACGATAAAAAAGTGATTAAAAAATTGGTATATTTTGGGATATATATATTGCACATAGATATTTACAAATTCGATTAATTATCAATTTTAGTATTTTCAATTTTGCATGTATGATTAAATTATAAATGAAGTTGTATTTAATATGAAAATTTTTTTATGAGTCTACAAATGTTGCATTTATTTATTAAATAATTAGCCCTTGAAAGAAATTAACGATTCGTCAGGGACGTGAATTATGTCCAATTGTTTTTAGAATTATAAATTATTTTCTTCGACGTTCAAATAATCTGATAATATTTTGTATATGGAGGAAGAATCGTTTGTTGTAATTAATAAATTTCAGCGAACTTATTTAAATCAATTTCTTAAATAATTATAATTTCTTTTATTTGTACAAATATTTTTAGGACAAATATTTTTAATTTGTCAAAAACTATAAATGACGTACGAAACATCCCGACAAACCACATGTTTTACTTACATGTTTGTCGAGATTGTGCCTTTAAAAGAATTGTGAAACTATTAACACATTCTCTGCCCCATGTACTATTTTCGGTATACATTGAAACTTATTTTCAGGCCAAGTGATATTTTTATCATTGATAGATAAAATATAAAAAAATTCTTAAATTAATTTTCATTATACGTATTTCCTAGTTGAATGTTTTATTAATATAAAAAAAAGCAGAGATAAGAAGGAGATTGATATGGCCTGAAAATATATATTTATTCAAAAATAAACTGGCAGAAAACGTGTTAAAGGTCTTCAAAATTAATTGAATCAAAAAAGAAAAAATCAAAAGCAGCACGATATTTGCGAGTCTCGTACGTCAACTATATTAAGCTGAGCAACTTTCATTAATATATTAATATTGAAATTTTTGAGATAAAATATTTTATATGATTTAAAAAAAAAACAATTTAATATAAACTTTCTTCCTTCAAAAATTTCAGTTATCAGAATATTATTTAAGATATCTTTTTATTATAAAAGATATTATAAAATATTAATATAATTTGTAGGTTGCTTATACTTAATAAAGAAATATAATCAAAATGTGTCGATAAAAGTACTTAATCGGCATCTTCCATCAAGTTGTTAGATATCGCCGATGATACACTTAAGATTAGTGTACCAACGATGAATTATATGAATACATTAAATATATATATATATATGTATATATATATTTAAAGAATATATTGTACTTATATGTTTAATGAAGGAACGAAAACGCGCGACGAAGAAATATATGAATTATTTAGTAGAATAATTAGGCGACACGTATTGCCGCGCGGAGAAACGTATAAATAAAAGTGATCATTAATATTGCGAACGTAGGAAGTCGAGAAGCCGACGAATACATGCACTTCTGTTCGTGAAAAATATGTTTCTCTTAAGGGTGTGTACGGTAGTTTTGCATTCAGAACTCTTTTATTTCTCGATTGCAAAAAAATTAAATATTGAACAAAAAAAAAAAAAAAAAAGAAGGAAGAAGAAAAGAAAATATCGCCACTTAGTATATTATTGTTCTAAAATAAGTAAAAAAATTGGATCAATTTTATATGTTAAGATTGTAGACAAATATAGATAAGAGTAGTTGTAATGCAAATTCGAAAAATGAGGCACATAAGATTTATTGGAATTTTTTATACATCCATTTTAACGTATATTTAATATTCCATTTACTATGATAACTTTGGGACCTTTTGAAATTATAAAACAGAAGAAAAAAAATGTTCGCATTAACATTTCTGAGAAGTGCGATATTATATGCAATAATGCAAAATTTATTTTACTCGTTAAGTTCATAGTAAAATCTATTAGTATTTGAATTAATAAGAAAATACGGTAATATTTGGATAAGAATATTTTCAAGCAGAGAAACTCTCATCTTTTATTAATCTGAGTTACAAAGATTATTTTTTGTCTCATTTTGAAAATAATATAATTTCTTATTTGTATTTCTTTTATAATCGAGTTCTGAATCCCGTGCAGGCACCTATAACTCATGTTGATTGATCTATCGGTACATCGACTTGACATAATTCGTGCCAGCTATCCTGTACCTATAATGGGACCAAATTAAAAGAGAAGCTTTTATTTCGCGTTCACCGTCGCGCTTACGTCCCACGTAATTTATCGCGTATGAAGAACCTTCCCTTGTTTCCGTTCGCTCGATTGCTTCGAACAAAGAGGCAAGAATGTTCATGTGAAATACCGCTTAACACACTCAATGTTATTTGATATAAAATAATAAAAAAAAAATACATTTAAAGATTATATTGAATTTTTTCTAACGAGGATAACTTTAAAGAAAGAAATTTCTTCATAAATAAATATTAATCGAAGACAACAATATGTATAAAATTTTAGGATAACATAATATTAAAAACAAAATATTGTTCAAATTTCTTTTCCTATTTTCTTCTAATTTATTTGATCATAAGATATTTTTGTCATTATAATATTGTGCGTGTTAAGTGAAAATTAATATGAAAGTAAATGAATTTAATTGAAGGAACATTGCTTTTTAACAAAAGAATAGGGCAAATAGCTTGAAAATTGTGTGATCATTATTCGATCAAGTTAAGATTTATGATAAATATTAATCGAGCGTAATAGAAACATTTAACGATGATAACATTCAACTTTTTTGTTCTTGGATGTATAAAAACATCCAAGAGGCATGAAATGATGTAAATGCTGTGATTTATTTTAAAATTAATCATAGTTTATAGTGGAACACAGCGATGGAAAACGCTGAATATCGTCGCGACGTCAGGAAAGACGAGTTGTGATAAAAAAAAATTCTTTAAGAAATTTTAACGATGTGTATGTAATTGTTTGTCTAGAACAATTGATCATTTGTTGTTTTAACTTTTGGATTATTATTGTAAGGTTCATTTCAACGAGGTCCAATCTTTTCAAATTTTTCACTAGTAAAGAATATAACGATAGTCAAAATCTTTTCGCTGTGCAGTGTATACTTCCATAAATTAATTTCATATTTTAAAATTTTTTGAAACTTTATCGATATAAAATATTGATATAGGTATATCAAATATTTATATTTATTAAAATATGAAAAAATTCAAATCACGAAAGAAAAAAATCCTCTCATTGTATAATATGTATAATATATCTTTATAAATTAATTTTTTATATTTTAACAGTGATAAAAGATGGACCTAATATATATTCAAAGAATCAAATAAAGTATCTCATAAATGGATCAAAAGTTAAGACAACCAAAAGAATTATATCACGCCAATCTCGTCATCTCCAAAACGTGAATCCTATGACGAAAATATTAGAGATGCGTTAATTACTTGAAAATTTTAATAATTTTGTTACTTTGATCTGTCTTGTTGGCGATGCAGACTGTAATATAGAATTACGACTTACGTCTTACGATTAAGGACGAATAAACTATAATCCGAGTTTCATTATTGGCAACGATATTAAGCGTAGAGGTAGTGATGTTCAAACCACTGAAAGAAATGTGAAAAGATAAAAAAAATAATGAAAAATAATGTGTGTGTGTGTGTGAGAGAGAGAGAGAGAGAGAACAATGTCAAAATAATTGTGACTAAGAAAAGTTAACCCATATTATAAACTCGTAAATGACTTTCTGTCTAAATATTAGCAAACCTATTCATTCTAACCGCTAGAGGAATGTGTTAAGCGATCGAAATGTATAGAAATGAGAAACGATTATGAACCATTGTACATCTCTTAAATCCTACAAGTGCCAAGTTGGTGAGAAAAGTCCTTACAAAGGCTCGTGTTATTAAGTATCAAATTCCAACTCGAAAGAAAGAAAGAAAAAAGTATATTTCGCGGTGATTTTAACTCTATCAGTTTTTGAACATTGTAAAAGCAAGTCTAATTAAGCTCGATCTAGTCTATTTTATTATCAGATAAACGAATAAAGTCGACATACATAATTTTAAATTGGATCAAATTCGTCAAAAACGAATTTGTCTATTTCTTCAAAAATAAAATAAGTAAGAAGAAAAAATAATAATAATAAAGAAAGATAAAACTGATAGAGTTAACGCAGCAAGATGGAACTTAATGATGACGAACGTTCTTTTATTAGTACAGTTATTATGTATAATGTGAAATACAATAATACCGGTATTATTGAGCTTAAATTCACTTTTAATTCGAACACCAGCTTAAGGAGCGAAGTCCTATAATGAATTTGAACGGAGAAACAATAAAATATTTAAAACAAAGAAACGTAAGCAGTGTAATGAAAATAAACTAATGCGACAGTAAAAAAAAAAATTAAAAAAAAAAAAAAAAAAAANAAAAAAAAAAAAAAAGACAAAACAAAAAATGATAAAAATATTGTAACGTTGTTATCTTATTTTCTTCAGTTACTTCCGAAGACTTACCTCTCCACTCCTGTCATCTTTCCTTTCTCATCGAGATCCTGTGGGATTATGGGAACTTCGGCTGCCATTCACAGAATCACGGAAAGTGGTGAAATTTTGTCGCGAATCACGCCGGAAGAATGTTGCTGGTTCGCCACTCAATCCAGATGCGGAGTATCTAGAATTTCGGACAATGTTGTGGTAAACAATCATAATTAAGTATTAAATTAATAAATTAAAATGATTCGTTCAAATTGAAAAATTTAAAATCTTTCGATATCTCATAATAACCGAGATTCTATAAAAAATTCCATGAAAAATAAGTCGAAAGTGCAAATTTGCAAATGACTTTGCTTCGTTTTTCTAGGAAAACGACGTTGAAAATTCATCAGGTCAATTTAAAATCATCCCTTTCACAGAGACACCCTATGTAAAATATTACGAATTTAATGTAAATTATACATATACTATAGAAATATTAAATATGTATATGTTACATACATAGAAAGTAAATTAATTGATATAAAAATTTATAGAATTGTACGGCTTATTTGGATTGCTCTCATCACGCAAGAGATAAAGAATGGTACTGTCAAAGTAACACGATGAACACTCATCCGTCGAAAGTGCATCGTCAACGAGAGAATTACGAATCTTTCATGAGCGAAAGAGGTGATGGAAGTTACATAATAATCGGTACACCAAGTAATGGAAATCGAAATAACAATGGTAGAACTGGGGATGATGATTTTGATAATGATACTCGTAAACAAACAGCTGTCAAAATGGAGAACAATGATTCTCCGAAGCATACGAGTTTCTCTTCTGGAAAGAAAGATGGAAACGTTTGATAATATCATTTCAATGGTCTTATAACGTTTTATAAAAAAATACTAATTTTTTGTCTGGTAATTATAAGATTTTTTGAAAAGTACTACTATGTACAATTTATAGATATTACAACCAGTGAAGAAATCACTAAAACAATTGCGTTTAATTCTTTATCATCTATTTACTATACTTCATGTAACAGATTAAGTAATTATAAAAGTTGTTTTTTTTTAATACTTTCTACCACTCTTTACTTTTAATACATTGAAAGTTTAATAATATGACAAATAATATGATAAATAATATATATATATATATTTCTTGTACATTTATNTATCAATACTTTATACTTTCTTTATTATTTAATTTTTTACTTAACAAATACTCAAAAATATATTGATTTTAAAATCATATTAACATTTTAAAAATATAATTATTATAATTACTCTTTACCTGATGAAAAAATATATCTTGATATGAATTATCTTGGCATAAAAGAAGCAAGAAAAGAATTATCCGAATTGAATTCTATCATGTTCTCGGAAAATTTCATTCATCAAACAAAAGAAAAAGAAAAAAGATGTTTGAAGACCGTCGGTGACCGGTAAAAGGAATTGATCGCTTCCGTTTCTGTGTAAGAATCCATCGGTAGAATGCAATTTGTAAATAGTGGAACAAAGACTCTATGGGTATGCTTTATCACGGTGATCGTAATCGTGGATGTTTATTATAGATGAGCCAGCCAAAGGCGGCATTCTTCAAACGTGATGAACGAACATTGTGGATTGGACCTCCCAATCCGTCAGGTGAGCTACCTAACCGGCAGGTAATGACGGACAGTATATCCGTATCGTAAACGAGTCGTACAGTCGGTGGACATCGCGTAGAATTTTCGAGGTAAAAGTTTTTCTTTTCTTTTTATTGCCACCATTGATGCATCTGAAACTGTGGAAATTGTGGGATGCTGCATCGATGATTCTGTTGTTTTAACTGTTAATATTTATCCATAAAAATATTACAATAAAAATTAATAACATATTATATATGTTATATTTTTCAGGAAACAGTTTAAATTCAAAACAAATTCAAATCTGCAATAATTATTGGAATTCTGAAAATTAAAAATGATCAAATTGATACTTTTATTGATTCAATATAATAATCAATTCTGAATTTCAATGACTCGAAGACATTTGATAGTTTTAAGAATTTTACGAGTTACAAGATCAGTTTCAATAAGAAATATATGGTTCTTGAAATTCTGAAAATTAAAAATGACTACCTTTGACAATTTTACGCGTTTTATGAGTTACAAGTGATGAAGTTGCAAATGAAATTATATATCCTTCCTTGACTTAGTTTGAGAATTATCACATGGCATCAATTTTGCTAATAACCGAAGTGCACAGGTAACTGTTGAACAAATTAAGGATCGACTATGGTATATAGTATTCGTTTAACAGAGATAACTTCTCGGTTACGTCTTCGTTGCTTCGCAGCACCGATATCGCGACTTTTCCCTCTACAAAATTACTAGGACAAATATCAGCCAGGGCTGAATGATTGCTTTACCAGCCAAAACCGCGCACGATAGCAAACAAGGAACGGTCCTGCTCAAATATCTACTCGCGATACATCGGTCAGTCGAATGTAACTTGCTGTTGATTTTTGTCATTTGACTCGAAATGGTCAGTCAGACTGACTGCTCGTCGAAATGGTTAACTGTTTCGCTTTATAGCTTCAGTTTCTTCTATCTTTTTCGAGGAACGAATTATCTTCATATAATTTTATTTTCCAAAATAAAAAAATTATATACCATATTCGACGTATTAATTTATTTCATCGATCTTTCAATTATTATAAAATAAAAAAAATAATAATTACCATCATGCAGTTTATTTCTTCTTTTTTTTTTTTTTTCTTCCTTCTCCAAGTAAATTGAAGTCTTCAAAATCGCACAGCCTTAAATAACACATCTATCACAATCTTCTCACCCTTTTAGAGTCTTCTTCATCGCGACGACTCTTAATCGATCTATGCAACCAATGGATCTTTTCCTTTCGCTGCACTTTCATCTTAAATAAAAAAAAAAAAGAAAAGAAAAAGAAGAAGAAAAAAACCATCGACTACTACTCGTCGAACGTGAACCATCGAGAACGAGCAAACAAATGGTGTGTTCACGATGAAGAAGGAGAGGCTGATCGAAGAATCGCAAGCTCTCCTCGGAGGTGATCGGAACGCGCGTATACCAGCGAAGACGACTGTTCGCGACTGTCGCGTGGGCGGACTGGCAAGCCTCGTGCTTTCAAAAGGATCGACCAACCGTCGTATAATCGTAAAATGGTCCCGTGCATGGATTGGCCAGGGAAACGTAGGAAAGGCGGCGACCAATGTCCTCTATCTTCGAAAAGAATCTAACCGCCAGTGAAATCGCCGTTACGAAGCATGGATCCTTGCGACCAATCGACGATTTTGCCTTCGAGGCCTCGGGGGCTCTCGAGAGTCCGCCATGCTGTGCCCGGAGCTTTCCTAATTTAGAGTTTAATTAGCACCTGAGGAACAGGAGAACCGTGCACAGGCATCGATTGGATGGTAACCATCGTGGAAACAGAGAGAAGAAAGACGTCGAACAGAGACGACGATATGTCAGCAGTCAGTCTTCGGATCGTCTTCGCCGACTAGTGTGAAATATCGCGCCCAAGTGTTACGAGCACGGCCACGCGGCCGCGGGGACCGAATAGTCTCGCCGAGGAAATAGATTTTCCGTCCTTCTTCCCGTTCTTCTTCGACACTTTTGTCTCCTCTTCTGTCTTCCCTCTTTTTTTTTTCTTTTTCCATTCTTGGGAATCGTTAATTCGATTTGAAAATCGAACTAAATTCTATAAGTTGAAAGAAGGGTCTCTTCTTCCTGTTTCCTGTTTCCATTAATTCTTCGATTTCTTCCTTTCGTCTTGTGGTCTTCTTAAGTCAGAGAGATAATATAGTGTTCATTGAGAATATAATATTTGTATTTGATTGAAAAATAATACAATATAAGAGATTAGTTAGCTTTTCCGTGAATTGGATTGGACGGAGGTATAAGGAAGAAATATTATCGTAGAAGTCGAAGAAAGTGTTTCTTACCTCTTCCGAGTCGCACAACTCGGGTCAGAGAAATCGAAGAACGAATTCTGGGGATCGAAGAAAAGAGAAAATGCAACCAGCTCCGGCTACACCCGGTTCTCCAACACGGTCATCTTGTTGTGAACGAGATCGCGAGCGGGAAGTTCACGAGGATCGTGGAAGAGAGCGGAACAATACTGGAAGACAAAATCGAATGACTCCGGAGGAAGATCACGAGGAAAGAGGCAATGAAAGGACGGTGATTTCGGGACAGAATCTTGGTGTTATGACTGTTAGCGGAAATCAGGGATTACCTCTTTCATTGTCACTTGAAGACAGAGATCTATGGACTAAATTTCAATGTTTGACTAATGAAATGATTGTGACAAAGAATGGAAGGTGAGTGTGATTGAAAAAACTTGAATAAATTTAAAAAATTTTGAGGAAAAAAAATATATATACATGAGATTATGTAAAGGAAGTAATGATATTAATGCTTTTTTTTTCCTATGTAATTGCTAGTCATTGTTAAATCTGATGATTTATAAAATTCGATTTTATTTTATGATATTAAAATGACAACTGTCAGTTTGGAAAAAAACATTGATGCATTAAGTATGAACGATTTATCGATATGCACGAGTCATTTACACATTTAAAATAGTATATCACAGGTTTCACATTTAAGAAACTTGAAGGATCTGTTAGTTGAAAGCTCTGAAGTAAAGATGGCTCTTCTTCATGCATAAAAATGTATTAATTAGAGCATCAGTGCGAACAAGGCAGAAGGTAAAAATAATAGTTCATATACATTAAGGTAAAAAGAGAGGGAAAAGATACCGCTCGTGGAATGGAAAAAAGATCATTGCAAAATGTTACGAAAAAAATCCACGCAATGAATATTTCATGTTTGCTTCAAAAACAGGATAACATTTTTCTCTTGTAATTGAATTGACTATTTGTAGTTTCTTTCACGCCGATCTAAATTAACAAAGAAAACACGACCAATTACAAATATTTTTCTTTTAATCAAATTTCATATTATGCATCAAACTTGATTCTTCATTTTTTTTTTTTTTTTCTATTTGATTCTAATATAACGTTTAGTGAATTTTTTTTGGATTTTATTATATCTAAAAATATTAATATTATTTTAATTATTATGATAATTGCTACAATAATCAAATATATGTATTATATTATAATATACAACACTTTTCCTTTACATTGAAGAAAAATGTTTCAATTCAGAAAATGAAGAAGCAACATGAGCAAAATCTAGTCAAGGAAATACCTTTAAATGTCTAAGGCCGGCAGATCAAAAGATTTGCCACAGCGTATCCTGCCCGACTACTTTTATGATTCGTATATTATTAAAAACGATTACAGTTTGTCGACCGCGTTTTTCATGCAGGAATATCAGTGTTTGTGGGCACACTAGCAGAAACCAGGGAGTTTTATGCAGGATTGTGGGCATCGTAAAATTTTATTGTCGGTGTGCCGGCTCGATTCTTCTGCTATCCGCCGCCTTCAGTGTTACTTTCATTAGTGTTTATGAAATTCTCTTCTTTTCGAGATATCTTCTTCGTTATCACTTTACAAAATATATCTTGTGGTAGCTAATACAATCGAAAATTAAATTTAGATAAAGATAAAAGAAACATGTTGATAAAATATCTACATGAAACTATGGGAAACTTATATTCATCTTTGATTTTACTTTCAGACGGATGTTTCCTGTCGTTAAAGTGGTTGCAAGAGGATTAGAGCCAAAAGCTATGTACACTCTTCTTCTTGAATTCGTTCAAGTGGATCCACACAGGTAACAAAATGTATAACTTAAAAGAAACAGAAAGAAAAAAAATTTTTAATAAACTTATTAAACTTATTAAAAATTATTTTATAAATGTTATAAATGTATATATATTTTATAAATGTTATAATGTGAAAAATATATATTTGAAAATTTTATTGATAGATGGAAATACGTTAACGGAGAATGGGTCCCAGGTGGAAAAGCGGAAGTCGCTCCTCCGAATCCAATTTACATCCATCCAGAGAGTCCAAATTTTGGATCCCATTGGATGAAAGAAGCGGTATCGTTTGCTAAAGTGAAATTGACAAACAAATCCAATGGAAACGGACAAATTATGCTAAATTCATTACATAAATATGAACCACGAGTGCACTTGGTTCGCGTAGACGCAGTGGAAGAAAGAACGGTATAAATTTCTCCAATTTATAATTCTATATAATACTAATTAGATATAAACAAATATTAAAATTATTTTGCTAATTAGTGCTATTTCGATAATATGTAAATGATATTCAGGTGCTCACCTATCGTTATCCTGAGACACAATTCATAGCGGTGACAGCTTACCAAAATGAAGAAGTTACAAATTTAAAAATTAAATATAATCCTTTTGCGAAGGCGTTTCTCGATGCTAAAGAAAGACCTGCTGATCCGCAAACTTATCCGCAATGTAAGTTAACTGATTACAGATTATTAATATTAATTTATAATTTCATTGAATACATATTGTTCATTGGTTATATTGAAAATTAGAAATATATTTCAAAAAATGTGGAATTATAAATTACAGACACTGGCGCTTGGTTTTTACCACAACCTACGATGGGATACGAATATAACACAGCCATTGCGGCCGCACAAAATCAAGCATCAGTGACAGTCAATAATCATCTTTCTAATTCTTGTACCGTTTCCACAGCTGGTCACAGGAGTACTTGTAGATCAACGCCTTACACTTTGAGACATAAATATATTCAAGATGGTAAATATAAATTTATATTTTTTATTAATTTTATAATTTTTTTTATTTTTTTCTTATTTTTAAGATATATATTATTCAAAATAAATAAATCTTTGAATCATTACAGAACAACGCGCGGATCCGTATGGTTCAGTACAACTTTTGCATTCTACAGCATATGTAGCACCACCAGGATGGTCGCCACGTAGTCCAGAATCTCTGCAAAACTTGAATCCAGCTTGTCTTCCACCTACGCAAGAATGGCCTACATCTCCTTCGCCTTCGCCAACTTCATCTTCGCATGCAGTATTCAGTAGAAGTGTTGTCGGAACAGCATCACCAACCACAGCTACAGGATGCACTTTATATGTGCCATCAAATCTATCTTCTGTTCCTCAGGAACACAATCATTGTACTGATACTTCAGCTTGGATTCATCCTACTACTCTGTCAGAACAACAACAACAGCAACAACAATCTTATTTAAATTTAAATTTACATTTACATCATCAAATGTCATCTTATACGTCAGTTCCTCATACAGGGTTACATCATACTTTACATTCAAATGGAACAGATACCGTTCCTCCTGTTGACGAATATGTTCACGAATATCATGCTTCTCCTGTTCAATCAACAACGCCCGATCGTCATCCACAACATCATCATTCTCAAATGCTACATTTACAACCAATCCAACAAGCTGGAACAGTTTCTCCTGTTAGTGTCGAATACGATACCCCTTCGAAAGAACATCATATACCTGTTAGTTATTCTGAACAAAATGCAGATACATTAAATGATGTACAGTCAGATGAAAATAGAAGATATCTAACAACGGTGATTGATAGACATCATCGACAAGATTCAGATATTGCAAATAATGATCATCAAGCCACTGCTTGGACACCATTGACACCACCGCCGGCACCACAAACTACAGCAATTTGATTTCTGTACATGATACAAATGATTTTATTTAAGGTATGGAGTTGCTATTTGATAATTTCTATATTTCTTTTAATAATTAGATGACTAAGTATGAATGAAATCATATTATATTTACAAATGCATTTTGAGTGCAATAGAAATGATATACATAAGTAATTAAAATTATTAATAGATATATAGATATGTTAAAAAACATCATTCATGAAATGAAATGAATATTACGAATATATAAGCATTGAAAAAATATCAAAATAATAAGATTAATGAAATAATTTAATAGATTGTCAAATTATATATTTCATAATTATTTAATATCGAATCCGTCCTAAAATTAATGTTTTTAGATAATATATATTAGGTATAATAACAAAATATGAATATACCGTTTCCTCGGAATTAAAAAAATACTGTAATATCATAAGTTGATTTGTTTATACTTGACATATGATAATTTATTCATAGACAAATATTCATGTATATACATTTCTTAAATAGAAAAACATAAAGGCACTTACATTTTCTTAATAATTTTAAAATTTATATGCAAATATACATTGATAAATATATTATATATACAATAATTAATTCTATAGAATTGTTCGTAATCAAAATTCTATAGAGCAAAACTCTAATAAATCAATAATTTATATAAGTATAAAAAAAAAAAAAATAGTACAATTAAAAAAAAATATCTAAATGTTATTCCTCATTTAAAATAATATCCAAAATCTTATAAAACTTATTTTTACTTGCTATCTTGAATTAATCTAGTATAATAACTAGTATAATTCATGATGGCACAATCATATTTCTAATTTTTTCTTTGTAATTTATATTTATAAAAAGAATAATATTTTACTGATATAAATACTTATGTATTATCCAAACCAATGATTACCCATACAATCTCTTGTCCATTCTGTTTGACATATCCAACACCAATGATAACCACATCCTGCTCTAGTGCAAACCATATGCATGCATCCTCCTAGAAAATAATTTCATTAGATTAAGAAGAGAAAATTTATTGAAATATAATTTTTTTTAATATTATTAAAGTACCATCTCTTTCAGTTGGTGTTCTACATTTTGGACATGGTTTTGTTGAGATTTTAATAGTTTTTTTACTAGCTTCATCCCATTTTGCCTAAATAAAAAATCATGAAATATAAATCAAATAATTTTAATTAATAAATAAATGTAAATATTAAAAGTATTGCATACATCATTGACTTTTTGTGGATCAAGTAAATATCCCAATTTATGCAAGGCATTTGATGATTCTGATGGTTGCAATTCACATTCTCCTAAATGGAAGCCTTGTAAACATCGTCTACAAAAAACATACTAGAATATAAAAATATATTATTAAATATTGCAATTAAGTAAAATTATTGTATTATATAGAATTTTTTATTTATGTAATTACCCCACAACCACCAAAACATTGAATTTTTCTGCATTTATCACTACCATCATCTGGAGACTCTGGTATGATACCCATACCACAATCTGGTCTTGGACATAAAAGTCCACCAGCACGTAACACATATTCTTCTGTGCTAAATCTTTGATATTGCTCATACTGTATCATATAATATTATTAATATTTAAAAATTATTTGAGATTTATATAAGTACTTTATTTTCTTATATAAAGTACCTGTTCTGGAGTAAGAAGATGAAAATGATGTATTTCAGAAACAAAAGAATTTGCACATCCTGCTGGACATGGTAAAGTATAATAACCACTAATATCATCAAATTGGAATTGACGTTCTCTTAATCGAACTGAACAATAATCTTTAAAGCAATCAAGACAAGTCACATGACCAACTTCACATGGAAAAACCAAAACCATATCCCTATAAAAAATCTATATTTAAAACTGTTATAAATTTCTATTCATATGAAATTCAATATTTCAAATTAATTACCTAACATCTGTACAAGCAAGACAAGGTATTTTTCTTAAGTTTGGTTTTATAAGATAAAGAGGAACTGCTTCATCCTCTTCTCCTAAACTAGTATGTTTCCCACACTTAAAATAGAAATGTGCATATAAAACTTGTGATTCTGTATCATCATTAACAGTTATAGGTACTGGACAAAAATTATTTTCACAATGAACTGTTATTCTTTTTGGTTGTAATACATCTGGCCAGCATTGAGGATCTCTATCTACTGTAACTGCTCCACTATTACAAGTTGCACATCTTACTCTTAATTTTCCAACTGTCACAGATTTACATGGTGTTGTACAAAATACAAAAAAATGTGCTCGATTCTCTTGTTTCTCTACAAATATAAACGCATATTATTTATATAAATTATATATTTATATAAGTTAGCTGTTTTATATTGATAACTGTTTATTTAGTATTCACTTCATCTATATGTGTTTACCCTTTAAAAGACTACGATTATTCTACCTTCCATGGATGAATTTTCTTGTAGATCTGATTCATCTAAAGGTAAATCAGTAAGAGTTTCGTTCATTGGCTTTCCACCACTATCATTTAATTCAGAAATTTCAAGAGATTCATCAATGATATTGGTATTTTTATTTTTATTTAACCTTTGTGATGGAGTTCGAATTGCATGCAATATACTTTGTTGTCCCAAATCACATTCCTACAATACAAAATTTGATTAAATGAGGTTAAATTTGATTAAGTGAGGTTATCATACTTAAATTGCTTTATACTTTAAAAACATGATTGTCAGTACATAATTTTGCAAAACAAATTTACTTCTATTATCGTTGAATTATGTAGTTCTTTTCCTGCAAATATTATTTTTATATCTTCAGGTGATGTTCCCATTTGAGAAGCTACTATCTCTTTTACATTTTTTATATCCCATTTTGGATCCAAATCAACAGCAAATGTATTTCCCGTATTAGTTTTCACATATATACTTAATGAATTCGTTATTTTTCGCTTACTAAACCAAATTAATTGTAACATCTTAAGAAATACATTTCGTATAAAGCCAAAAAAGAAACTCATACCGTTAATGCGAATGTCGTTTATTTTGACGCTTTTTAAAGATGAAAAAGGATAGAAAATATTATTGAAAGCACAGTAAATTTAGTGAATATTTTTGATGACGAAAATAAAAAAAAGTATTGCAGTTTATAATTTGAAAATGAGGAAAAAATCAAATAATAATATAGAATGAATTCTATAACATTTTTAACATTATAAATAATTAAGGAAAATATAATTTCATTAAAGTTAATATAAACATTTTTTAAATACATCAAATATATATTTATTTCATATATTTATATTTTTTGCAATATAAAAGTTATCTTTCAATAGATTTCAATTGTTTTTATATTTTTCATTCTGTGAATTATAGAAAAATTTAATTATAATGACAATTCTTTTTAAGCAATAAGTATATTTTATGTGATTTTTTTGGAATTGTATATAAAATTAAGAAATATTAATAGATGATATGATAGAAATAATAAATAGGAATTATTAAATATTATTTTTACATAATTTCATTCTTAATTTGTTTTTTTATATGCAAACATATACATATATTCGAATCATAATTCGAAAATATAATGTAAATTTAATTATATAAATATAAATTTGAATATATAATCACAAAAATATATATATAAAGAATTAAGAAAAAACGTTTATCTCCATTGTGGAAAAAATATTGAAAATTAAAGATTATTCAGCATTCTATAATACTGAATCTATTTCTAAATAAATATAAATATAATTTTACATATAAATAAAGTTGTTCTTATTTAAGAACAATTTATAATTGCTCATTTTGTTTGTTTATATTATAATTTACTATCTTTATTGATTTAATCACAGGTTTTTTTCTTCTTTCGTCCAATCTTTGTTTTTTGCAATCTTCTATTCTATCATCTGATTCCTTTTTAATTATTTTTTTTAATGGAAATACTGTATGTTCAGATTTAGTGTCCTTTGAAATTGTGGGTGATATATTGTACATTTTTCTTTCCTTTTTAAATAATTGTGATGCAAATCGACGAACTCTATTTATTCTTTGTAATTCCGAATCTGATACATCTAATATCATTTTTCTAGATTTCTTAGATTTAGGTTGGAAATTTTCAATATTTTTTTTTTTTCTTTTTCTTTTTCCATTCGGACTACTTCTTAAATCTTCAAACTTCTGATTAATATTTTGCTGTATTGAAGAAGAAGAACTAGATGTTAGTTCTATTATATGTTTTTTCTGATCTTTACATTTGTGAAGAAATTGATTTAAGGTCATCCCTTTACATTCATTATCTTCATTTTCAGGGTATTTGTATTGGTCATAGACACGAATCCATTTTTTCGAAGATTTATCCCAATATCCACTCACAGTATCCATTTCTTTATATATTTTGTTTGATTTAAAATCTTCCTTTTTTCTTGCTATTTTTTCTTCATATTGCATCTCAAAATTTTTATCTAAAATATACAATATATGATTAATATGTATTAATATTAATATTTAATATTTAATAATATTTAAATAAAATAAAATTTTAAGATTAATATTTTAATATACTTTTTTCATTCTCGTTGCTCATTTTTTTAGGATGTTCTATTAATGACATATCTGCTCTATAAACAGGTGATTTAAGATATCTACCAATATTCTCATGATTATCTCTAACAAAATTTTCCCAAAGAAAATCACTTTTGGTTGTTGGAACCGATACATCAATCAACCATGATTTACATTTTTCAATTCTTACATCGTTTTTAATTTGTTTCTTATTTCTAACTCCTAAATACGTTTTAATTACATTTTCTTTTTCTAAAAATAGAAATACAATTAGTTACATATTATCTTTTATTTTAAATAATTTTTTATTTTAATAAGTTAGTAATATTAATTAAATCTAGTAATTAATTAATTCTAATATTAATTAATAGCATAATATGATTAAAAATAATGAAATAACTATAAAAAATAAAAGTATAATAATAATATATAATAATATGAAATATAATAACTAAAAAAATAATTACTTAAAAATAATTCATCATCTTCATCATCAGAATCATTATATTGTACATAAGACAATGGTAAATCCTTTAAGGGTAACAGTTCATTTTCTTCAAAATTAATTTTTTCTGGACTTTCGATCTTCCATTCTCGAGGGCGTAAAATCGGTGATTCTAAACATTCTTCAATGAAACAAGGTGCTTCTCGAATTTTTTCTGGCGATTTTAAATCTCCAAACAAGATGTCACTTTCAGATCTTGAAATAATCTTTCTAATTGAAGATTGTCGCGAGACTTCATCACACGTTTCCCAATTTTCATCAGAATGTATTTGTATTATTTTTTCTTTTGATCTTTTTTTCTTCTTTTTCTTTTTCTTCTTTCTTGGTTTTCTCTCTTGTGTTTTATTAATATCTTCTATTTTCTGCTTTAATTTTTTTTGCTTTAATTTTGTTTTCTTTTTCTGTTTCTTCTCAATATCTTTAGCTATAATTTCTCTTCTTTTTTCTTTCGTACTCGATGAAGAATTAGTATCAACTGCAGATACACTTATGCTATCTGGTTTATTTGTTTTACCTAGCACAGGTGTGCTACAAAAATTGAAACTTTTTTTAGATCGACCACTTATGTTGGACTTTCTTTTTAATTTCTCAGCTGAAGAAGACATTTTATATCTCTTAAGTCAATGATATCTTTTCTAATAAATTCAATATATGATTCATACGTTTATCATGATTCTGTTTGAATAACACATCGATAAATTTCCGATATCATCCGGAAGTCTTGCTATTCTATCAAACGAAGGGTTACAAATGCTGATGAATCACGTTCAAAAGGGTGTCGATGTCGATGAGCTTCCTGTTTCTTTTTTTACCTTTAACAGGACAGCATATAAATTTGTTCATACTTTTTAAGAAACAAAACAATTAATTAAATATTTAAGATTATTGTTATTTCTTCGTAATCAAATTTTTTGAATGAAAATTTAGAATTTGCTTGATATTTTTTTATAACTTAATGTTTAATGATTGCAATTTAAAATTTTTTAATTTAATTCGATTAATTAAGTTTGATTTTTTAAGTAGTTTGATACTTTTCATAAATTCAAAATTCAAGAATTATGTTTAAGATTTGATAATTTGCACAATTAAAAATTTTCATTTTTACGATTTTCTACAATTTATATATTTTAATAATTATTTTAATTTCGAAATTTTCAAATTTGGCAATTCTTTAATTCAAAACTTCACTATTTCTTAATCTTCCACAACATTTGAATAAATATCTTCCATTTATATTTTTTGATTACAATAATTTAAATTGAAATGCAAATTTTTATTTTTAATGCTAATTCCAAAATTCCTATTCCAGCTTGTGAATATTAAATATTTCTGACGTGAATGTCAGCACACGACTGGAAACTGTTCCCAATAAAGTCTTCCACGCACAAATTCAACCTACAAATTTTCCATATGTAAATATATTCAACCTATATAATAGCCTCAGGAAACAGTTTTTGCTCATAAGGATACCAAGATTTAAGACAATATATATATATATAATAGAGTGCTTATATGAAGTAGTATATTAATTTTGTACTTAAATAAGAAAGTGTTTATACTTAAATCTTATAAAGTTACCGAAAATGAAACAATAATTAAATTATCCACACAAATAAATATTAATTTTCCTAATTTTTAGAACGATTTTAGATTATTAAATCATAAAATCATCGCGAAAATTCTTTAAAGGTTATTATTTCTATCAAAATAATCGAATCGATATGGATCAACTTCCGTAAGAAACAAATCACGAAATAAAAATCTGAATAAAGTTTTAAATTTATTATGTATAATTTATAATTATATCATAAAAATAAAAGTTTCTTTTTCTGAAAGATTAATATATTTTATGAATGTATTTTAGATTTAAAAAATAAATAAATAAATAAAATAAATCAAAATGCGCCACTCGCAACGTCATGTTGTTACGGCACTGGTTTCCAAAGGTACCTACTACCCGCCAGCCACGCAGTAGACCGTCAGTGCACGTTGGCTCATCGCACCGGTTACGTTGTTTTCGTTCCATTAGTTTTGAATTTGACAGTTAACGTCGCAATTTTCGAGTTACGACTTCACGTTTCTTTTTAGTATTATATTCCGCGTGAAACATTGTCTTGTAACTTCATTTTCTGCTCATATATTTGTTCGAATCGAGTATTGAACAGATCGATTGGTCGTATATCGCAAAATCGATATTGTAAAGGTTAATAACAAGAAATCGAAGGGTGAAACGATCACAATGCCGGCAGACGCGGAGCTCAGTAATCTGCTTAGCAGGAGGCAAAGGATCAACGACGAGCTTGAGGAAGGAAAAGATGTGAAAAAGCAATACAAATTCGTGAACGTTTATACCGAATTCCACGAGTTATCCCGTCGTGAGATCAAGCAGTATGAGCAGACCTTCAACAGGTGAGGACCTTCCGTTTCTTTCTTCTCGTACCCATTTAAAATTTTATCCGTGGATCGTGAATAGAAAAAGCCGAGAAAATTTTGTCATTTTTCGTCATTCTGAATATAATTCTTAGAACGAATTCCTGGACTTATATTTTTTGCCACTAAGGATCTATTTTCATGAAATTTTTTGTGCATGATAAAATTTATATAGTATTGTTAAATTTATACATTTGTATACGCAGATTAGATATTGAATGTTAGATATTTTTTTTTTTATGTAAATTTTATAATATCAATCACATAATGTTAATATTAAATTTAAAAAAAAAAAAATAATATAAAATGTTAGAATATGTCTGATTTATTATCTTTTTATAAATCAAATCTTCTAATTGACAAATCTTCTCTAATTGACAATAATAATAATAAAGATTAAATGAAAAATTTAAAAAAAAAAGGTGATTGAAAATATAACTTTATTATTAAAGTAAATCCAATACGTATTATTACATAAAATGTGCATAAGCAATTAAAGCAATAAAAATGCAATAAGCAGCTGTTTATAAAATAGATCTATATTTTATATTGTCGTCTATAATATATATAATGAATACATACGAAATATATTTTGAATTGAAATACATATATATGATAAATACATATATAGTTGTTTTATTCAGCCATATTTGATTTTTTATTATTGGAGTCAATAATAAATGGCTATTTGATTCAATAAATTAATATCGAAATAAAAATTTATGAATAATTGACAATTAAAATTGGTTAAATATAATATCATCAGTATTGTTCAAAAAATTTTGTTCTTTTTTATTCTTAATAAAGAATTGCGAGATAAAATGCAAAGAAAATCGAGAGTGAATCATGACTTTTGTCATGTTCACTGTGGTTTTTCTGTTTGTGTTTACTCGCTCGAGTTTACGTTACTCCCTACAGAAAGATCATGTTCCTTTGGTCAGATATTTATTTTTTACATATGAGAATATACAAAATAATACGCAAGATATCAGTTGTAATATAATATAACCTATTTGATTACATTTGGTATTTTGCTTTGACTAATCGTTAAAACACTTCTGTTTATTAATGTATATTTTATTTTTAGCTTACAATTTAATATAGAAAACTTCAAGCATAATATATGTAAAATTTTAAGAGCATGAAGATATTATTCGTTTGGAGCATTTGTTTGTAAAAATTGATTCGAAATACGTATAAGTACATCCTAATTCCATGATTGATACTTGTTTGTACAGTGATTCTCTTCGAAAAAAAAAAAGAAAGAAAAATTGAAATTGAGACGTTATGAAATCGCACATAACAAAATTGGTGGTATTAATAGTTTCGTAGTAATGATAAAGGAAAGAATCTTCTCCATGAGTTCGTATAACCGTATTGGAGGCCAGAACAGACGACCTCGAGGTCTGTCCTCTGTCTCTCTTGTTCTTCTTATAGGTATTTCGGAGTCAACCGGACAGCAGGTTTGACAAGGCAGAAGGCAGGGTGGACGACCACTTGTGGTGCATCCTCGAAAGCCTTGTGCATGATTATTTCGGTCTAGCTACAAAATTTCAGCGATACAACTATTATTATTTAATCATTATGATTGCTGAAGTTATCAGGATAAAATAAGAAGCGCATTTCTACATGTTTTTTATTGACTAAAGTAGTGTTAAATAATTAAAAAAATATTAATTGGAGAGAACGAATTATGTTGATATTTTTGATTCATTAATATTTATTAAATGACAATTTTGACAATGGTACACAATTATCATGAATATTATTTTGAAATTATTAAAGAAAATAAGTGTTGAAATTTTGTATAACTATATTATAACTAATTTATAATTTATAATTAGTTATAATAGTTATATAAATGATTATTAAAAATTAAATAAAATTATTATTTATTAGATAAAATTATTATAAATTATCATAAAAATTAATAGAAACATATTATATATTATCATCTTACTCAATTTTTTATAGATATCAATATTTTTTTTCAATTTCATTACCATATATTTATGCAAATTCATATTTTTATGAATGTAATAAAAAAATGAAACTTAATGATATTTAAATAATGCATATTTTAAATATGTTAACATATTATATACATATTATATGTATCTATATATTTTTGTATAATTGAATTTTCTAAAAGTGCATCTTATTCATTATTTTTGATATGAACTGTATATAGTACATTATATCAGCAAACGAAAATAGCTGAACTGCATTCCTCACGGCATAGGCGCTGATAAAACAAACGTCATTCAATTATTTATACGAGATCCGAGTCGATGTATCCGGTACAAAATTTCACCGTGAAACATAAGCACGTGGATGAGGTATCGTACACACGATGGATGATACCTCAACCGGAAAGACTTCTAGTACTCTGCAACGCTATCACCATCCAAGGAGTTGTCCTTGTCTTTAGAGAAATCAGTAAGTACATATCTACTTTTCCTCGCTTGTTTCTTGGTCTCGCCGATCTTACCATGGCCAAACAACTTTTTTCCTCCCAATGAAATTGCAGCATTGAATTTTACTGCACAGCTACAGAAGAATAATTCGAGTCCTAATTCTATTAAACTCTCCAGTCTCTAGAGACTGTAATGGTGCTTTTGTTTTTAGCTTACGGGGTCTTGAAATGAATTGTTCGCCTTTTATGAAAGTAGTAACGAATGTGGAACGAATCTTTGCTTTTAGAAACTTGTAAGAAAAGTTGGATGTAAAGTCTTTATTGATTTTGGAATCTAATGAACAGTTTACAAAAATTTTATGTAGAATTTTCAATCACGTAATATTGAACAAATTAAAAATAATGAATTATAAAAAGATGGACAAAGAAATTGTATTTAAAGGTCATCAAGATTCTAAGTTTTAATGAGAGTTTCGTAAGGATTTTGTTACAATGTTTTATGCTGGAAAACTGATTTATACTTTTTCTATAGTTTTATAGTGAACTTTACATAGAACTTTTATAAACGCTATATTTTGAATTATCTTCAAATAAAATATTTGTTTCAATATCTGTGATATCTATGATGACATTTCAATATTTTTATAAAGATAAATGAAGTGGACAAAAATGATAAGTGATTTATCAGAAAAAAGCAATTTCGAAAGTTGATTAAAAGTTCATCTATTTACTTTTACTATTTACTAAAAAGAGACATTCTCCCAGAAAAGAAATATATACAATATATATCCTATAAAGTTTCCAACTTTTGGATCAATAATATCGTTAAAAGTTTTAATGTTTTTCTCCTTAACAATCATTGATAAAAAAAAATTCGGAATTTCAGAAATAAAAATTTATTATATTTTTATGAAACTTTCAAGAAAAAAAATCG